CCCCCCCCAAAAAAAAATTCAAAGCCAGTATAGTCACTGTGGGGGAAAGACAGCGATCTTTTGTATGTTGTTATAATTAACCGGGCCCGTTTCATCATCAGATGATAGAATGGGATGCAGTGTTAAAAAAAGAACTAAAGGAAGAAACCAGGAGAAATGGCCATTTTAATTGCATGTTTATTCTCTCTTCGCTTTCCCAAATTGGTTTCGTTTCCTCTGAGTGGGGTAAGTGCCAGGGTATTCACAGGAGCAGGGGGCCAGGGTGGATTCCAACATTTACCAGCATTTGAATTACCTCCGGACGGTTTTGGCGGCCTCTAAATTTATACCCTTGAAGGCACAGCAACAAGCCTTCATCTCCTATGGAAGAAACTTGAAAGCATGCCAGAACAGGACCTCCGTCCTCCCTTCTTAGAGTCCTGGCACGTAGAATCACACAGGAAAACAAAAGGCATTTGTGAGGAGCCGTCCAGGAAGAAAGATTAACAATATAAACCGAAGGGGGAAAGAGAAAGAAAAGAAAAAAAAAAAGCCCTTTAAAATGGTTTTGTGCTTATTTTAATAGAACTTGCACAGTCCCTGAATATCCTCTAATCAAAACCAAATGCTTGTTGCTGTACAGCGCTCTGCCTTTGTTCCCCGGTAATGCCCACTCGGCTTGGATGGGGGGGTGGGGCCCGGCTGGCGGGCTTATCTCTCCACCACGAATAAACAATGTTGTCCTCAAGGTTAGGCCATGCCACTGCCTTGAAAACCCCAGGGAAAACCCTCCTTGGCATCAGGGACCTTGTTCTTCAATAGCCCCCAAATGCCAGATGAAAAACTCCAAGATTTTTTCTTCTTCTTCTTCTTCTTTTCTTTCTTGCTTTTGATCCTGAAATTTGTCAGGGAATCCGAATGAGAGAAAGGAGCTCCTTCTTCTCCCTCTCCATCTCTGGCTCTCATTCTCTCCATCTGTTCATCCCTACCTGGTGGTGGCTTTGCTTCTCCTTTCTCCAGCTCTTTCCCCCTCGCATCCTTTCTCTTGTCTACCTCGGGTCCCTCTCTTGGTTTCTGATTCAATTCAGAAAATCTCCGTCAGCTTCCAACTTGATTGGCAAATGATGTCTGACCTTGACTTGGTGTGGGCTGGAAGGATTTCAGCCTTGAATTTTATCAGGATTAGCTTTTTTTTTTTTTTTTTTTATCTGCACAGAAATACCCAAGCAAGTAACTCATCTCCTCATCTTTCACCTTAGACTTGCTGCTTTCTCCTCTAATTTCTCAAAACAACAGGGAGAAAATAAACAGAATGATAGTGATGGTTCTGGCCGATATGACTTTTACTACAGGGCAGAAGGGATGAAGCCATAATCTAGTCCCCGGCTCAGGATCAATGTCTTTGGGTTGCACTGGGCGATGTTATTAAAGGGAATCTCTCGGCAGCTTGTTCTGTTTTAAAAGCCAGACAATTCTTTTCAAATGCTTATGGGGTGTCCAAGGCATCCTGCATGGGGGAGTGGGAAGGAAGAAATCCCGATCCACAAGATCTGCACCTTTCCATGTCGCCCCAGCTCCTTGCAGCACAAATTGACTTTGTAAGATTGGCTCTGAAAATGAATACCCAGGACATCACTCTGTGTTACTTTCCTGTGAAATTACTTTTCTGAATGAAAATATTGAATTCCTTTGAAAGCAAGTAGTATAATATCTCTGGAAATGAAAATCCTGTGGAAATCACAAAGGAAAGAAGACTGAAGGATATGAAAGCTTTATATCTCTAAATGTTAGTCAGGCCTTGGACTTTTTTTTTTTTTTCTTCTTCTTTTTTCTTTTTCCTTGAGAACAATCATAACTGCTCTTTCTGATGTAGATACTCATCCGAGTGCTGGAATCTCCTAGATGCTTCTATTATAGATTTACGTTTTATCTACAATAAACAGCCAGTATCATTATCTTAATTTACTACAGCATTTGTATGAACTTGGTGCTTTTTGAGTCCACTTGTTTAGCAAGTCTGACCTGTGGAATTTTCCTTGTCTCAAGGGGAACGTATTGACTTACCGCCAGGCGTCTGGGTGTCACAGACAGAGCCTCTGCTGAACTGACAGATGAACAGGGCAGAGCCTTCGGGGGAGCAGTGGTGTGGAAGACTGTCTTCCACGATGCATCAGTTGCCTGGTTGCTCACCATTATCCCTCAGATCATCTAGAGAGGGATGGCTTCCACCCTTCTTGTAACATTGACAGACTCACCAACTGGGGAGGGGAATTTCCTGCAAATAAAAGTATTCTCTGTAAAACTTCTTACTCACGTAAGTTCCTCGAGGCTTCCTTAGTTGAAGCACCTTTCATTGCATTTGGTGTCATTTATTCTTCTTGTTCCTTTTTTCTTTTTTAAAAAAAAGACCAGGTGTCAACTGTCAACTGAATAAATTATAAAATGCCTCTCTTTCAGCTTCTCCCCAGATCAGTACAAGAACAGGAAAGAGAGGAACTCAAAGGAGAGAGGATAAGGAAGTCCAATCAAGGTAAAGTGATATTGCCTTTCTGTAAAGGAGATGGAGCCCTCTGCCCAGATGGAATGTCAGGCTAGCCTGACGGCTGAGAGAGATTGCAGATTAGATGGCTGAGTTGCTGTCAGCCATGTTTGAAGAATGTGCAGAGCAAAGAGGTGCTAGGTGGCCGAGCCAAGAGCTTGATTTCCAAAAGCTTTAGAAAGATTGAAGATGTCTCTGATGTTTAAATAGATTAAAATAAAAAGAAAAAATTTAACAATTGAAAAATGTACACTAATCCCTGGAAGTTAGCACATCATCCTTAAAAACAAATTATGCCATAGGCATTTCAATTCATTTTGTGGATAAAATCTTGGGCATTTATGAAATGCTATAATCACAATAAGTGTGCTTTGTAAAATCTTCAAGATGAAAGCATGGCTTGATGTTTTTCAGTTTGGAGGATATGTAGCTGTTGGTGCCAATGGAGTATTTCAATGGCAATGGTGCATGGGCGTGTTCTAAAGACATAAAACCAAGATCAAGCTTGGTCCTTCCCAGGGCAACACTTTCTTCAAGACCCAGGTGAAGACTTATTGTTAAAGGTGCAGATGACATGAAGTTGAAGGAATCATAAAGATTGTCTTTTTACTGAACCAATGACATGTTTATGTAAATAGAAATATGCCATAATAAAACCCACCATTCAGTATGATAGACAACAATGAAATGTATTTTATGTCAAAATCAGGTATCAATTCTTAGGTCAGTGAAAATACACTGCATGATGCCAAATGTTGAACATTTGTCCAAAATGTTCCAAAGAGTTAACCCAAGGGCAAATTGTGAATTTTAGGTGATAGTAATTGTCCATATAGGCTCATCAATTGTAGCAAATGTCCCACTCGGGTGGGATAATAATGCAGGATGCTGTTCATGTGTGGAGGCAGAGGGTATGTGGAAAATTCTGAAACTTCCTCCTAGTTTTCCTGTAAAAATAAAACTTCTTTAAACAAAATTATTAAAAATTTAAAAAAAGAGGGAAAAATACTAAGATGGTTGCCTGGTACCAGAGACAGGGAGGACTAGGGAGTACAGAATTTTAGTTTGGGGAATATGCAAAAGTTCTGGAGATGCATGTTGGTGATCATGGCCAAACAATGTGAATGTGCTTAGTGCCACTGAACTGTATATTTTAAAATCTTGTTATGTATATTTTAACATAACAAAAAATAAGAAGCAAGGTTTGGATAACAATAACAACAACAACAATAAAAAACTCAAGTATACAAAAAATCTTTAAAAAACGAGACAGTTAAAATTTAACATGAATAATAGGAAACGTAATACCTGAATATCAGTGTGGTTTAATGTGAAATTTGAAACTTGGAATGTGAAAACTATAGAAGACTTGGGTAAATGCAGTCAATGTGAAAAGTTTCTGATTATTCTGCTCCCATGTAAAAGTTTTAGAAGATGCTGGTCAGCCTACTCCATCTCTACAAAGATGTTGTGTTCCTTTTCTTTAGATCTCCCATACCTATTTTGAGATTCCTTTTAAAGAGCTCATGATTTTATCCTAATTTATATATATGAATATATATTACCATATGATTGTATATACACGTAGGTTCCAGAAGATAAAACATTAGTGGGATTAATATCCTAAGTTAAATTTCTGATATGGATTTTTTTAAAAATATTTTTAGTTTTTAGATAACCTTTAATTAATTAATTATGTATTTATTTATTGTTATGTGGTCCTGAGATTCAAACCCAGTGCCTCACATGTGCTAGGCAAGTGCTCTACTACTGAGCCACAACCCCAGTCCCCTGATAATTGATTTTTTTAATAACAAGTATCCTTAAAGCTATTTGGCCAAGTGAAGCTTGTCAGTGATTAATCTTTTTAAATGTACAAATACCATTCTGATGACTGATGTGTGAAAATTTATCAACTCAGGTATGTATACATTCCTTCACATACAGTGACTGAATTCTTTAGAAAGGATGTCAGATGAAATAAATAATAATAAATAAATATGCCCTAAGCAATTTTGTAATTAGGAATCCCTTAGAAGGGAGTTAGGGTACTTTAGGGGATAGCATCTCTATTTAATCTGTAGTTATGCAAAGCTAGATTCATTTAATAAGGATGTAGGGTGAGAAATGGAGTGAACAGATAGTTGGAAATGAAAATATCAGCTTCCACATTCCTGCAATAAGGTTGATGGCTGAGTCATGTCCACTCTTAGGATGTTCTTTGTATGTTTAAATAAATTGAAAATTGTTAACAGTAAAGTATGTACCACCATTCCTCTGTATAGTTGTATAACCACAAGCAGTTAATTAATATAAGGAAAGGAAATTTTAATTTAGAAAGACACAAGTACAACATGGAAGCTACTTGTTTGACAGGCAGTGGAAAAATTATGGGGGTGAAAGATACATACTGGCACATTGTCGCTCATTGTCAGAGCCCCCACATATGGTGATACCTACATACCATGGGACTTGCCCAAAGATACATTATAATTAATGCATTATTTTGCCAAAAGTTCTAAATTGAATGGTGTGATATTTCAAATAAATAAAACACAATGTATAAAGTCAAGAATAACCTGTATAAATGCATATAAAAGTAATTATAGATCCATGGAATGCTTATTTTCATTTTTCCAGGTTTGAGATGAAATGTGATATCATAAATGGGCTTCTTTGATTTTAGAACCTATTTTTTTCATGTTCTTATAAAAACAAAACTGTATATGAAATCCTAATATTGACACCCAAGCTATTTCTCTTCAAATTACTCTTAATCAATTAGTAGCAAAGAAATTATTTACTACAGCATGTGCCTTGAGTTAGTTTGGGCAACATGCACCAAACATTTATGCCCTCCTTACTCTGAAAGATATTGAGAACCACATGAAAAAGAAGAGACACATAAAGTAATTATCACAACACACTGTGGGCACTGGTATCTTAAACTACGCATGGAATTTCAATGGGACCTTGACTTGAGGGGTGGGTGACCGTAGTTACAGAGGATTTCCTGAAAGAGGTAACAACAAGGTTAAGGTTGAGTCTTAAGAGTTAGTGTGTTATTTTTCACCATTTGAATGAACTGTCAAACAACAAAAGGATTTTTCTAAACTTTTTAGTCTTGCTTTAAAGTAGAGAAGTAAAGACCTAAAACTTACCTTAAATGGCAAAGTTAGATGCTCATACCTTGCTCTTTGTCAATTTTGCTTTTCATTAGAAATAGTTTTGAAAGAGCCAAAGGTGCATTGAGCTGGTTACAATGTTCAATTAGTAAAAGAAAAAAACCAGGATTTTCTCATTGTGAACTATTGAGCAAAATAAATGAAGGGAACAATTCTTTCTAACAGTGTAGTGGGGGTAAAATATCTCTTGGTAAAGGGAACTACGTGTGTGTGTGTGTGTGTGTGTGTATTGTTGTTGTTGTTCTGTGGAGAAGTAGGTGTGGGATGAAGGACTTCATGTAGAATTTCAGGTACTTGGAAGATGTTGCCTATAATCATATAGCTAAGCCCCATTCAGTTTGAGAAGGATTCTGGATAAGTAGATTACTTTCCATATACAGGAGGAGTATCAGTTGAATAAGTCATGTTATCTGTACATTGCAATTGAGATAGCCAAAGATCTGAATTTGAAGAACTAATTGTAGGTCATCTCCACTTTACTTTGGTAGAGTATTGGGAAGATGTGGTTGAGGTGAGAAGAAGGATGTGGTAGAAAGAAGATGGGACGTAGCCTGATTCACCATATATTAAGAGCATGATGTTGCTGTCAATATTAAACCCCTAGGACTAACTTTCCTTATCATACAATTTTGCAGGAAAAGGGGACAAGCTTTTGATTAGAAATAGTTTTTATCTATTAATCTATAGATTATCTATTTAATCTATACATTATCTCAAAGAGTCTATCCAGTTAAAAAATGTTAACTGAGTAGCCAAAAGACAATTCAATTTTGTTCCTACTTACCTATGGCATACTTTTCTTTAATGAAATATTTCACGAATATTCAACAAACGTACATATCTACAAATAATGTAGATGGCATATTATATCTTATAGCTAATAAAGGTTCCCCAATTCAAAGTCTTGCATCCAAAGACCTTAACCATCTCATTTCAATCTCTTTGTCTAAAAGTATCTTCAATTACTCACCTTCAAGCATCTTCCAACTCAAGTCAATTCCCACAGTTCTCTCAAATGTTAAGCATACTCCCATCCCATCCCTTGACTTGTGCTCTTATTAGAGAGTTTGATAGCCTGGAAATCCCATTTTCAGATCCGGCCCCTCCTTCTAGGGCTGTCAGTGGAGAAAGTGTTGTCATGCGTCATGCTGGATTGCCTCCTCCTGCAAGCTGAGAGGAATCTCAGCTCCCCAGGAGTGTAACTTGGTGATACTTGCTCACTTGTACCTTGCTGTAGGTTCATTTGTCTAAATATCTGTTTCCTTTTTGAAGAAGGCCTGTCTCTTATTAATATCTGTGTTCCTGGAGCTCACCAGAAACCTTCAAACATGGAGACCATCGGTTTGGTTTATGCTGGTGGAAGAGAATCAGGAAAAAATTGATATTTGCAAATGGACACTCATTCAGAGTGAAAGTTGAAGCCCTTTCCTTCGCACTGGTCTTCTGATCTTCCGCATCCTCTATTCCAACCATGCCATCCCATTTCTGTCTCTGTAACTGTTTCAGCCTTTTCCCTGACTGAAGGCCTCTGTACCAGTTGCTTTGCTGCCTAGACTGTACTCCCTCTGACACCAGCATGCCCCAGTCTTTTATTTCTACCATTTCTCTGCTCAGCCAGGCTTTCCCTGACTGCCCTGTTTAAAATGACAATTTATAGCACTCCTTTGCTCCCTTTGTTTTTCTCCACAGCACACATGACATTCTGACATAACATGTACTTATGCACTTATTTGTTTGCTAACCACTTTTTGCCCCCACCAGAATGGGGCCAGAGAAGGGCATGGCCCTTGTTCGCAGCTTTCTCAGAAGTGCTTAAGTCTATGCCTGTTGCTTAGTAAACGATGTGTCTTCCTTCCGTCTCTGCTTATTCTTGCTAGTGTATGGAGGTGCCCGCAGGAGACAAGTGCTGCCTTGCTTCTGGGCCTGACCCCAACCTGTGGACAGTCCACAGTCTCCTTTTTATTGTAGATCTTCAAAACTCTCATCTAGTGGAAGTGGAAGGGCTGCACTACAATGGGAGACAAAGAATGAGTGATATGTGAAAGAGAAAGGGGAGCGATAAATAAATGAATAAGAAGATAAAGTATGTGTATTTTTACAGGGGACTTCAAAACCAGAAAAAGATTTGAATGAAATACTGTTAATCTGTTAATGATAACATATGGAAGAGAAGGCCAATGGTTGAAATTTGGCTTGAACGCTGACTCAAGTGAGATCCGAGTACCTATGGAGGCTTCAGTAAGTGGCTTCCATGTGTTAAAGATTTGAAAGGAACTTTAAGGACCCACTCTCGAAATAGTCATGTGAATGACACCGTTCATAGTCATTCATTGATAAGAAACTTTTTGCTATGGCCCATCGAATTTTATCTTGACAGTGTAAAAGAATTTAATATGTACAGATTAATATTTTATCTAGAGTCAATGACAATCAGACCTGGTCTATTAGTGTTAAAATGGTCCTCCTCATCTTCACTTGGACACACCATGACTGGAAACCTCTCGCTTCTTAGTTTGAGGCTCTATCCTGATTCTGTGTGGGTACTTTTCTATTCATTTTGTTTTCTGATGAAAATCTTAAACAGGCTGGACCCTGATCCAATGGGTCATATTTGTTATTAGGGTTGGTCTTTTGCAAAATAAAAATGGACAAGACTTTGAAGAGATACAACACAGGAGTAAAAGCGCAGGAAGAGGAGGGGATGGCTTTTAAATCTATTCACTGAACAAATGCTTATTGAGCATTTCTGACATGCCAGCACTGCCTAGGCATGAAGGATATAATGATGATTATGGAGAGCTCCCTGGCCCTCAGGGAGTCCATGTCTAGGTTTTCAGACAATGTGACTCGTGCTGTTGGTGGAAAAAGAAGAAAGGACGCCGGGTGGAGAAAAAAATGTTCGAGTTTGAGACTTGGGCTTGTTGAATTCTAGAGGAGAGCAATACATTTAAATGGTCTCACTGTGCTTTTGAAAAAAAAAAAGAAAAAAACCCTACATTCTGTGGGGGGAAAAGCAGTGAATAATAATGGTAGTCCAAGATAAGTTGGATATGAAGTCTGTTTTCTATTGGGGAGTATACATTTGATACTTCAGGATGGGAGACTTTTTTTTTTTTTTTTTAAGTTGGAACTTCTTGCCAAGTTTCTGCTTAGGAATTCTGAACTGAACTTCAAATGTTTAGGGGCTTCTGTTTTAAACACATTTGGAATTGTGGCTTCTTATTCAAGGAAGAAAACCCCTTCAAGTACATCAAAGAGCTGTGAGAAAAGATACAGTGTGTTGACAATTTGTTTGGGGGCATTGAAACCAGAAACATTGTCTCTGTAGTACACATATTTCAAAGTTGGGGGGGGGGCGGGGGGCTTCTGGCCAGAGACTTCTGGTGCTGTACAAAACTCCAAATACTTGGGAAGTAATTTAACAGATTCACTGTGCCTAAAAC